ATGGAGCTAGAGGGTATTATGCTCAGTGAAATAAACCAGGCAGAGAAAGACAAGTATCAAATGATTTCACTCATATGTGGAGCATAAGAACAAAGGAAAAACTGAAGGAATAAAACAGCAGCAGACTCACAACCCAAGAATGGACTAACAGTTACCAAAGGGTAAGGGACTGGGGAGGATGGGTGGGAAGGGAGGGATAAGGGTGGGTAAAAAGAAAGGGGGCCTTACGATTAGCATGTGTAATGTGTGTGTGTGGTTGCACGGGGAGGGGTGTAAAATACAGAGAAGTAGTGATTCTACAGCATCTTACTATGCTGATGGACAGTGACTGTAATGGGGTTTGTGGGGGGAGGCTTGGTGATGGGGGGTATAGTAAACATAATGTTCCTCATGTAACTGTAGATTAATGATACTAAAAAAAAATTCTCCCTGTTAAAAATTAATATAAATCTGGATTTTCAGATACAAGGTGTCACTCATTAATGAGACATGTACGTTCAGCTATTCAAGTCACCAGGTACACTGGGAGGGGAGCCATCAAGACTGCTGACGTTCTACAGCTGTAGCTCATGTGCTATGAAATTCAGACTCTGGCATACTGGAGACGCAATTAGTAATAAGCCTGTTAATAAAGTGGCTTCACATAGCTTATTCTTCCCACGAGATTCTTTTCGAAGCAAAAACAGAGGCTGACAATGAAGGGAAACGAAGCACGGTCTTACAGTCAGTTGGAACTTCTGCCCCAAACCGCAGACCTCACGTTGGCTGGGTTAGTGCTGGCGGCCGCTCAGCCGTCCTCAAGCCCAGACGCGATACCTGCCTCCGGAGTGAGGTGGGGGGGTGGGGGGCGGTACCACGCCGCCGGCCAGCCCAGGCGAGGTCACCCTCCAGCCTCCAGCCTCCGATGGCATCGTTAGAGTCCGTGGAGCCTCAGGAAAGACCTCGTTGTTCAGGGCGGGCCGCCCCCGGGGCGCTCCACTTGCCCCAGGCAGAGATGAACGCGTTAACACAGGCGGGCGGCCGGGCGAGGTCGTCTGATCTCTTGCTGGGAACAAACGATGCTGCGGGAAGAGGGCAGCGGTTTTCAGACACCCAGTGGCTGGGCTGCCCTGGAGAGGGGCTGGAGTCGCTCGCAAGGGCTGGCGGGAGCGGCGCGGAGCGGTCCGACGGGGCCCGGCCTGTCCCTAGGGGACAAGCTGGGATCAAACCTGCAGAATGGGGACACCTGTCCAATTGCCCAAACACTTGCATATGTTTAGAGTGGTTAGCACACGGGCTTGCACACTTGACCTTGCCTCTCAAAGTCAGAAAGCTGTCTGCAAGTTCAACTTGGACCATCAAAGGCCTGGACCTTTACACCTCTCCTCTCTCACTTTACTACCAAAGGTAAGAGTTTAACAAATCATCTGATTCTTTGGAAGGGAGTGGACTCCCATAAGTCTACCAAGCCAAGTAACAGATGCAGGCAAGACGGGCTGGACAGTAACTCAGACTTTGTGGTACTGAGCCTGGATCCATTAGCATTAGCAGTTTTCCTTTTATCTTGGAAACCAGGGATCTGAGACATGTCAGAGTCCTTCAGTAAAATCTTACTTGTTCTCGTGGGAAGTTAAATGTCACTAACTTGCTGCTATACCTCAAGGAAGAAAATTCTCTTAGTCATGCTTAATCACTGAAGGATGTTGTGACTCCACATATACCTACTGCCCCTAAAACTATTCTGGCGGGTCTGTGGAGCCTCTTTTGGGCAGTGAGAACTTTTTCTGTCTGCTTGCTTCTCAGGTGCTGGACTTGGCACCTGGCATGAAGAAGCAGGCTTTGGCCAGGCTCCCACTCATGTCAAACGACATTTTCATATTACAGAAAAGCCTGATTTTATCTGTAACTGCAGGCTGACATGGGCTGTGGTGCTTTCTGGAAGTATGCCAAAATCTAATCTCAGACAAACTCTGTTCTGACAGTTTCCTATAAGAAGGGGGAAAGAGAATGGATTATAATTTCTTGCAGATAGAAAATACATTTCATTTTTTCTTCTAGGATTTGATTTTTGTTAAAATTTGATAGAGGGCCACACCTGAGAACCAGAGTTTGGGATCCAGAATGTAGTAAAAGCCCCTGGGGTACATTTCAGCATCCCCAGCTCAGCCGCTGGTGGCTTCCTGTGCAAGGGCTGCCACCCACTCAGGTTGGATCTGTGGCACAGTTCCTGCACTGGGTCCCTGAGGAGGGTAGAGTTTTGTATGGCACAGTTTATGTGCACTTGACATACAAATTTTTAAATGTGTCATTTTATAAAAAATTCTCCCTGTTTTAACCCTATACACAAAAGTAAATTCGAAATGGATCAAAGACCTGAATGTAAGTCATGAAACCATAAAACTCTTAGAAAAAACAGGCAAAAATCTCTTGGACATAAACATAAGTGACCTCTTCATGAACATAACTCCCCTGGCAAGGGAAGCAAAAGCAAAAATGAACAAGTGGAACTATATCAAGCTGAAAAGCTTCTGTACAGTGAAGGACACCACCAACAGAACAAAAGGGTATCCTACAGT